ATGGTGCGGCGGTTCTAGTCATGCGGGCCATGCGTCGGCCTACGAAGCGCTTGCACCGGAGCACCGGGCCGGGGGGCGCGCTGGGCAGCCCGGCCCCTGCCTGGTACCACCGAGACCTGAGCCGCGCTGCTGCCGAGGAACTGCTGGCCCGGGCAGGCCGCGATGGCAGCTTCCTGGTCCGAGACAGCGAGAGCGTGGCGGGCGCCTTCGCGCTCTGCGTCCTGTGAGTGGCGCTGGGGCTGTCGGCGGGCGGGGGCTCCTTGGGAGTGTGGGGAGGGCTCGGGACGGTGGACGCCAGCGCCCCCCAGAGTGGGGCCTTGGCTGTATGCTGAGGCCGAGGAAGGATGCCGGGCGCACTTCCTTCCTGCTGCTGTGTGTCTGGGGGCACTTTCTGGGGACGAGGAAGCAGAGTAAGTGCCCACCCGCTGCCAGGGTGGCTGTAAGGGGGGAAAATGCAAGGGGGTCTCTGTCAGACCCCCTCAGGCACCCTCCAGAGAGAAGGAGCTGGAGGATGAGGATGTGCATTGCATGGCTGTGTGCAGGGCTGCTTACAGAGATGGGATGTCTGAGAGGTAGGCAGAGGTGTAGTTGGAGTTGGGGGCTGTGTGAGGATGGGGTGTGTGAGGATGGTCAGCAGCTCCCTTAAGGGGCGTTGCTGTGCCCCCAGACTGAGGTTGGGGCCTGCCTGGCCGTGTATGGCTGGGGCTAGGGGGCAGGGTGGTGTCCAGAAAAAGAGGGTGAGGCTGTGTGGGGCCATGCCATTATTTCATGAATCAATGAGTGAGTGTGTGTGCTCTGGCTCCCGGCTGCCCTAGCCTTGAACTGTGGGTGCTGAGTGTGGGGCTAGACTTGGCACCTCTCTGGGTGGGCCTGGCCCTGTGGCTGTGCCCATCCGTCTAGGTGGCGGTGGTGTTGGGGTGAGCTTGCACTTTTAGTTTTTGGAGTCTTCTCCCTGAGCTGCCCCCACACCACTCGGTCTGACACTGGGTAGGCTCCTATGGGCCTCAGGGGTGGGAGGTGGTGAGTGGGGAGCCACACGGCTGCTTTGTTTAGATCTAGTTATGTTTCTCCTTGGCTCCATGAGCTCTCCCAAACCTCCATCCCTCTGTCCCTTCCCTCTCTGTTCTCTTCACATCTTTGGGGGGTGGGAGGCGGGGGTGCATTGGCCCAGGCTAGTGGTTCTCAACTGGGGTTGACTTGATCCCTCCGGGGACCTTTGGCAATGTCTAGAGACATTTTTTGGTTGTCACAACTGGGATGATGCTACTGGCATCTAGTGGGTAGAAGCTAGGGATGCTGCTAAGCATCCTACAAGCACAGGGCAGCCCCTCACAACAAAGAATGATGCAGTCCGAAACCGCAGTAGTGCTGAGGCTGAGAAACCCTGAGGCAGGCAGTGGACCTGAAGAGGAAGGGGTGCTCTGGGTCTCAGCTTATGCCCTAAGTCTGCGGCTCAGCCTGGAAGACTAAAGAGGAGCAGACTAAGCAGATGAATATCCTTGAGCCCTGCCTCCCAGGCCCCTCTGAGGCATAACCCCTAATTAGGGAGGGGCGGGAGGCAGGTGTTGGGTCAGCTGTTGAGTGAGAGGAGGACAGCTGGGCCTGTGTCTGGGTGAGGAAGTTATTGTCCCAGGAGGGGAGAATCCGGGCTCCATTGCCAGGAGAGGAGATGGGTGGGGTGAGGGTCTGTGGGGAGATAGTTCAGCTTTGCCAGCTGACTCTGGCTACTCCTAGCATTTCAGGAGCCTGGGGGTGGGTGATCAGAAACATACTTGCTTACCTGTGTACACACCCACATGTATACAGGACACTTCCCTGCCTCAGCAGGCACAGGCGATCCGATCAGCAGGCCAGGATATAAGGCCTTGGCCTCTGCCCTGGCTTTAAATCCCAGCTCTGCCTTTTACTTGCTTTGTGTTTCATCTGTGAGTCTCAGTTTCCTCTTCTAAAGAATGGAGATAATAATAATATCTGCCTCAAAAGGTGAAGATTAATGAGATCATGTCTGTGCTAAGTACACAGAGACAGGGCTCAGTTAATGGGATGTTATTATTGTTATAAACAGAGGCCCACAGTCCACAAACCAACACACCCAGTCACATACAGACACCAGCATGGCTTGTGTCTGGTTGGCAGCCAAGAGAGCCCTCAAACGGAGCCCACTTGAGGGAAGGGAATGGCCCTGTGGCCAAGGTAAAGGGTCTTCTCATATAGGCATTTGGTCCTCTCTGGAGCCAACACCCCCTCCTGCCTAATACACAGTCTGGGTGACTCCCTTGGGCAAGACTACCCTGAGGTGTGGCTGCAGAGGGAGTCTCCCAGCCCCTCTGAGTGTGGCCTTCGCCACCCAGGCCTGGCTCAGCTGTCACCTGCTCAGCTGTTGCTGTCATCTGTCAGCACCCCTATCGCCCCTCCTCAGTTTGGGGCTCCTAGTGGCCTGGGTCTACCATGGGGGGGGTCCCCTTAGGTCATCCCAATTTCCTGGTGTCTGGGGAAGGGGGTAGAAATCCCCAGGATAATACCCCTACACTCCCCAGCAAAACTGCCCCAGACACACCCAACTTCAGCAGAGCTAGACACCAACATAAACATAGACAGCAGGCACATGTGTGTTAGCACATTGCCCATGCATGCAAACAGCGGTTACCCAGGCTTCTGAGGACTCTTAATCTGGCGGGGGGCCCAGACTGGTACCACAGCCCAGAGGGGCTGTTTAGACAGCTGTGGAGGCCACAAAAGAGCTGTCTGTTACTTCCCGGGCCCTGCGGTGGGTGTGGAGACTATGTAGGTCTGGTGGGGGCGGGGGAGGGGGGGGTCCTGCTTGTTGGTGACACTAGCAGGATGGACGTGGACTGCCCCCATCATTAACCCTGTACAGCTTGGGCAAATGGTTATAGGGAAGCCAAGCTGAAAGGGCTGGCGTTGAGTCCAGTGGCAGGAGGTGAGGGTATCTTGGGGCTTAGACTCTAGCCTGGGAGTGACAGATTCTGACCTCCACCTTGCTATCAGGTACCAGAAGCATGTGCACACATATCGAATTCTGCCTGATGGAGAAGACTTCCTGGCTGTGCAGGTAAGGGCTTAGACCTGTGATGGCGAACCTTTTGAGCTCGGCGTGTCAGCATTTTGAAAAACCCTAACTTAACTCTGGTGCTGTGTC